GAGATATCCAATATTAACCCAGACATTAAAAAAGGCTTCATTCATAACATTGCATTGCATTCTAACTAAATTTCTATTACACCGATGATTTTCCTGCAATCGCCAAAATAAACTAGCTATGAAGCAGTTGTGATGATTGATTTGTTTAGAAGTCATAATGTTTTTCTTCAAATTAAAAATGCTTAAAGGTACAGTGGAGGGTGTTCTTTTGACAATAATTCTGGTGATATGTTAACCTAAGGCCTTCATACGTGCTTGTCCTGATTTTCACTTTCTGGTGGTGAGTCTGACATTGTGGAAAATTGCAAATCTTCTTTTGGAAAATAAGCTTGTATGAGAGATGCAAACAGCAACTTTTAAACAGAGCATGCACAAAGAGAAATGGACTCGTGCATGCTATCACAAGCGTTTAATAGGCGTTCCCTCTCGGGAGAGGGTACAGGGTTGTGCATGTGAATTTTTTTTTAGGCTTTTTTTTTCAAACTCAAAAAAATTGCGAAAAAACGTTTAAGAAGGAATGCATGTTCCAGTTTTATCTAATCCTATACAATTCGGTTTAAAAGGCAGATAATAAAAATAATTTCTACACGTTTTCATACAACTATCTTGTTCCTGATTAACGTAGGTGAGCTCAGGTGCTGAGCCAAGGTGAAGTGTCCAGCACTGGAAATTTAAAACAAGAGGCTCAACTTATTTAGCATGAATGGTCCTAAATCCATAAGCAACTTTGTCCAGAAAGATATATGTGCAAACATGTTTAGATTTGCAGAGAAATAAACCCAAAAGACATTCAGGTTGTGACATAGAACCATCAGTGTTGTGGCCTCAGGGGAATGACTTTGGGCAGATACAAGTGAGGAATTGTTTAGTTTAGAGAGAGGGGATGATATTTTATTAACCAGACCAAAAAGCTATTAATACATTATTAGACCTAAGTGGTTTATTGATTGTTACAGTTAATGATCCCCCCATCTCAAGAAGTTATCTTTTCTATACATCATAAAATCAGAGTGAATCGATACAAAGATTTACTTTCTTTTACCCTCTGATCAATAACAATTTAAACAAGAGGTGAAATTGGAGGCAGCTTAGTTAAGAATTGTAAAATTATAGTTCATGTATGTTTTAGATAAATTAGGGTAACTTATATTTGGCTAGTCAGGAACCTGTTTTATAGAGTAAATCATAAACAGGAGTACCGTTTACTTGGTTTATCCCAAATGTTCAATGTTTATCTTTGGGGTAATGTCCAATGGGTCAAACAGGTTTACTATTTGTATCTGTTAGTCCCAGTTATCCAAACAAGATCTAAAATCTACAGTTTAAACTTGAAGTCAGCCCCAACTATTATAGAAATGTAGAAAAAAAAATATTTTCATTTATTTTTAAACACTTTCTATCTGACTTCCATAAAAGTATAATTTTTCTCTATATTTATATAAGAAAATCCAAATTAACAGGGCGAAAAAACATTTATTCAATCCACAACAATGGTAGGTCTAACAATTAGCTATACTGGGGGGAAAAGTATTAAATCAGCAATCAGAAAAAAAATCTAGGAATAACTAAAAAATTAGGATTTTTTAAGAATTTATTTGTAAGTTGTGGTAGAATACATGTATTTGGTCATCCACAAACAGGCGAGATGTCTGGCCCTCAGAAGCCTATAACTTTTTCATCTAAAGAAGAATCTCTTCTGTACAAAAAAAATGTTTAATTGTGGCCACGAAGTAGTATTTCGTGCGCACGAAATACTACTTCGTGGCCA